AGATAAGGTACTTATATACTTGATGAATGAATGAGTGAGTGAATCCTCGCAACCATCCTATGGGGTAACTACTCTTCAATTTATAGATTAGGTGACTTCTTCTAGTCTTCAATTTATGTACAAGGTGACTGAGGCTGACAGAAATTAAGGAACTAGTTCAAAATTACAGAGCCAATAAGTGGTAGATCCAGAATGTGAACTCAGGGAAGCAGACTCAGAGCCACTAAGCTATAATTTCTTTCCTCTAGGTACTGCACATCCACATAGTCTTTATGGCAAGTTATTTTAGGTAATATTTTAAAGAAATATTTTAAGATAATTAAAAAAATTAGGTGTGACAAACGAAGACCTATGGCACACAAGCTAGTTTAAGGTATAACCAAGCTTCCTAAAAGCAGCAGCACTCTTCCCTTAAATACATAAAATTTAAGTTGTAAGCAATATGAATTTTACTCGTGTCATCTTCTAATTCCATGAATGCTTACGGCATCATTGTGTAGGCTCATGATGACGTATAACTATGCAAAGTCATTTGATGGTTCTGGGCAACTATGGCATATTAGGAGGAAATGCTTCTGATAACTTTTCTTTCCATGTTGAAGGAGCTCAGTTAGTTTCCTGACCTTCCTCCGCCCCTTTACTGACTCAGCCCCAGGCACATAAAGGGACTTTTTTTTTTTTTTTTCAAGAACAGGGTCTTGCTCTGTTGGCACTGCAGCCCCAAACTCCTGGGCTCAACAGTCTGCCCATTCAGCCTCCCGAGTAGCTGGGGTTTAGGCATGTGCTACCATACCTGGCTAATTTTTAAAAAATTTTTTTGTAGAGACAAGGTCTTGTAATGTCCAGCCTGGTCTCAAACTCCTGGCCCCAAGTGATCCTCCCACCTTGGCCTCCCAAAGTGCTGGGATTACAGGCATGAGCCACCATGCCTTACCTTAATGGTTAATAGTGGAAGAATAAACCAGGCATGCTTGACTTAGTCCCACCCTTGCTCTTCTTAGGAGACAGCTACCTAAAGGAAGCCTGTTTCCACCACTGCTTCTTCAATGGCAGGCTCTTCCCCACCACCTAGTGGTCTGCCAAAGCCTAGTGTTGCCTGTGACTGATACGTCTACCAAATTCTGCAGATTGGCTAACAGGCCCATCTGATTTATCAGTAATAAAGTAGATAAAGTATCAAACTACCTGCTACTACTTTGTTTCATTTCTCAATTTGTTCAGATTTTGTGTATGGAAAAAGGGGTGCCATTTATTAGGCCCTCTTCAGGGACCTCTATCATTGCATATCCAGGTATTTGCTCCATTAAAGAAAAATGAAAACATGAGGAAGAAAACATTTAGCAGGATGATAAAGGTCTGCAGTCAGACAGACATGGGTTTTCAATCCTGAAATAATTTTCTTGACAAGGCCTTTAAACCAAGACTCAGTTTCCTTACTGTAAAATGGAAATAATAATTAGTTTTTCAGGGCTACGTAAGAATTAGAGAAAATGTATTTAAAGTGCCTGGTATATAGCAGGGAATCTAAAAATGGTTACTACTACTACTACTATCTCAAGATAGTAGGAGAAACGTTTAAAAATATGGGAAAATCTATATGGCTTTTGGTAAATACCTAATATTAGAGGGAATGTGATAATGAATATACATGGCATTTAGACTTAGAGGTGGATAGTTGATTAAGGGTACATAAAGATATGCAATAGCTAAATATCACTCACTCAAAATATCCCTTCATAGGCATTACAATTTTATGATCCTGAAAACAGGACAGAACCAAAAAGTAACATTACTCTGCATTTGGTGTATATGAGAAAAACAGGAATAGCATACGGAAACTAAAATATCTGAAATGCATAATCCAATAATGGCTAAGGTAGAACCAAAAAAAGATATCTTCCCACCTCAGCCTAAGAATTAAGGGATTTCTAAAACTGGTATTTTTAAAATGTTACAGACTGTCATATCCTCAAAACTTACTGAGCCATATAACATGAGTCTGCTTGTGAGTAGAAATATGAAATCAAGAGGTATGATAAGATAATTCCATCACAAATAAACACACAGATTTTATGTTATAGATCTAATTACGCAAAAAGGTAGAAAAAATAGAGGAGCTATACAGACTAGCTAGCAAAATTTAATTTAGGAACCCATGACACTGACTGATCTTCTAACACAGACGCCATAGTAACACGTAAGTTTTTAGTTTTAGTCTGTAACTCTATGCTGTGGCCCTAATATTTCTTCTATATCATAGTTGGACATGCAACTGGCTGTATAGGGAAGTCAGAGGAGAAGGGATTCTGTAAGGTTGAGGGCCTCAGCTGAGAAAATTGATGAAAACTCTATTGCTAGAAAGAGTCAAAGCATAAGGTGGGAAAAATTATCTGCTCCAGGAAATGACTTATTAGGAAGTATGTGATGTCACAAAAGAGCTGAGTTTAAATCTTAGCTTTGGCATGTATTAGTTCTATATATTCTCTAGCACCATATTTTAAAAAATCATCATTTCAGGATCTTCATGTCTAAAAGAGGGCCAATACCATTTATTTTGTGTAAAGTTGTGAGCATTAGCATTAATTTAAGTACTTAGCAAAGTGCACTGCATTTAATGAATACTCAGTGAAGATTGATTATACTCAAATTTCTCGTTTCATGTTTCTAACTAATTTCATAGGTTTAATGTCATAATTTTAACAGCGATTACATAGCACTTCCTTTTTTCACAAGAGCTTTTAGCATTAGTTTATTCCAGTTAGCAGTGGGTAGAGAAAGCTGTGTTGTTTCGGTATTTAAAAAGTTTTAATGGTCCTCATTATAAAAACAAGAACATCTTGTTGAGATAATGCATATATGAAATGATTTATATTTTTGCAAAATATAAGAAAAAAGGCATACCTTATATTTGGATTCAGATATTATACTTGAGGGATTATACTCTCTTAAAAATAAACTATTTTAGAAGAAAAAAGTAGAAATTTAGAAATTAGGCTTGACTAAAAAACTCACCTGACTTTCTCTTTCTTTTTTAGTCATGAGTTCAAGTTCCTCTTTGGCATTGCTCAGTTCTTTTTCCAGCCCTGCAACTGTGTCCAAGTCCCCTAAAATGAACATATAGTAGTAGTTTTAGTCACTATTAACATAATGTGATCTCTGCTGCCTCATTTCTGAGGAATTTACTAAAGACACATTCCAGTAACAAATAAATAAATAAATATACACACAGGTTGTTCTTTACAGCATTATTTTTAACAGCAAAATACTGCAATCAACCTAGATGCTATAAAGAAAAGACTGAATAAAACACAGTATAGTCACACGATAGTACTATATACAGCTGTAAAAAAGAATATGGTATTTATGAACTTATATGGAATGATTTTCAGGATATGTTAAGTAAAACAAGCTAGGTGCAAAAGAATGCATCTAATGTAGTATAATATATTTATGTTAGTAAAAGGGGGAAGTAAGAACATACACATATACATCACATATACACAGATGATTTGCTTGTTTTTACAAAAAGATATACAGGAAGGATATTCCAGAAATGAAACTGGTTATCTTCGGGGGATGAGTGAAAACAGAAGAAGGAATGGGGAAGTAGATGGGACTTCTAAGTTTATTTTTCTACATATTTGAGTTTTGAACTATGTTAATGTCTAATTTTTAATGTTAGTTTTGACAATAATGGGGAATAAAAAGCCTAAAATTTAATATTAACATAAATAAATCTATATAGCAAATAGATAATATAACCACCCAGAAGATAATTAAAAAATTAATCCAAATAATTTTTGAACTCAGTACTCTAACCATACACTCTCAGTGGGATAAAAAGAATTACAAAGAAATCTTAAACGTTACTTAATAGATTTATTGTTGACAGTGGTATTCAATTCTGAAACCATTTTTGCATACTGTAGTATTCTGCATATGTGTAAATATTTTGAAATATGTTTATATGTAAGCAGGGCTCTCAATGTTGGAAGAACGGAAATACAAATACAAAATGAGGGAAAGAACCTATGTTGTTAAATTGGAATTAGAGAAATTGGTATCAAATCATATTATATGTACACACATATATATACTTTTGTTTTTAATTCACTGCTAGCTCTGTTCACTTAAAAGACATTCGTGTAGCAACGAACACACCTTGTGCCCAAATCTTAGTTTCTAAACGCATCACCCACTAAAAGGGACCAGAGAGCTTCTTGGGGTAATGGCTGATTCTGGGGCTGAGGCACATAAAAAGTAAAAGGTAATAACAGAACATCTGCCAGAAACTATGGAAGTGCTCAAAAACTGATGGGGAAATATAATAGCAAAATGTCAGAAGAACAGCTTGAAGGGGCTCCTATTGACCAAATCTGGGATAATTTGAGCATCAAATGAAGTAATGACAGAAATGGATGGTAAGATTAAAAAAAAAAATCTAAACTGATGCAGACAAATGGCGGGGGGGAGATAAGGGAAGGACAGCTCTCCTTTATAGAAGAATACCCACTAATAAAGAAAAAACTTTACACACAGGAAATCACTTTTTTAAACTACCAATGTAAGAGTTCATTCAGGCAAGGCTCAAATGATACTAAAACCACTTAGTATAACTGTGGGAAAAGACAACTGTCAACATCTCAAGATGTTAGCCGACAGATCACTTATTAATTACAAAGGGGAAAATTAATCTTTACAATGGAGAGATCTAGCAGATATAATGTTAACCAAATGACTACTTAATATCACTGAGGATGATAGAAATTGATTATCATGCACCAAGAAAGATGTCACCCATATATTAATAGCATTCCCGCCAAAAATGTTTAACTTGAATCTAACCAAGAGGAAATGACCACAGCTAAATTGAGGAACATTAGCCTGGATTCTTCAAAAATGCCTGCGTCACAAAAGACCAAAAAAGCTAGAAAACTGTTCTAGATTAAAGGAAACTAAACAGACATGACAACGAAGCATGATGCATGACCAGAGGGCAAAAAACAAAGTAATTACAGAGAACATTATTGAGACAATAGGAACTCTGAATATAGACTATATATTAGATACTAAGATTAATACTAAGGTTAAAGTTCCTGAGTGTAATAATTATATTGTAGATATGTAGAGGAACACTCTTGTTCTTAGGAATTACTCACTGAAATAGTTAGGAGTGAAGTGTCATAAATGTCTATAAGAAATTCTCCAATGGCTCAGAAAAAACGCTATATCTACACATGTGTGTGTACATGGAAAGAAATAAGGCCAATGTGGCAAAATGTTAACAATTGGTGAATTTTAATAAAAATGTACATGGATATTCACTATACTGTTTTTGCCACTTTTCTGTAGGTTTGAATTGCCAAAAAAAAAAAAAAAAATGGTGAAAAGTACATTTTTTTAAAAAGGCAAATTGGGGGTAAATTAAATAAATCCAACATTCTTTACTCCTCGACTAGTACAAAGTTGCCCTACCAGAGAATGACTATTTGCAAGACTTTTCTATGGAATTCTCTAATTCCCAACTCTATAACATAGACACAAAGTTTTTGCATTCCTACATCAAATTTAAAAAGTTAATTCTCCAAGTCTATAACTTTCCTTATCACAGCACTATAATCCCACTTCATTAATCATCATGATTGCCTACTTCTGGAACTCCCTAGGTAGCATCTTCCTTGAAGACACCTTAAATAGCACCTTTTGCTCTGTGAAAGTCAGACTCCAATCCAAGGAGTCTTTCTCCTACTATGCATAGAATTCAGTTCGCTTTAGGGAGTTGAAGGCTGACAACCAATCCTTGGTTGGGGCTGAGCTTGGCAAATAACTCAATGTACACTGCCTACACCCTTCCCAACACTTTAATGTAGGTGATACCAAGTTACAGTGAGTAGCCCCAGCCTTGAAAGATACCCAGGAGAATGTGGCAGCCCCATGGTCCTGCTGTACAGGTTTGGAAGCACTACCTCTTACATTTCTGAATCCCTACAAAGCTATCTGAAAAAGAAAATCAGGATGCAGTTTTCCTGGGCCAAATTGTGAACTCAGAGCAATAACCTCAATTCAACATAAGGTAAGGACAGATTTTCCTAGACTAGACATGTCTTCAACCTTTAAGAAGAATCCAAATTTATTTTTTCCACTAAAGTAGAAAGAGAAAGAGCGTCTTGGCCAAATCTATTAATACAGACATATAGGAAGAAGAAACAGAGGTCCCTACATGAAACAAAATTTAATACTTACCTAATGTGGACCTGGGTATGCTGGCATCCTCTTTGGCAGTCAGTGAAGTGCTATTATCTCTGGAGGGTATTTGCATTGAACTCTAAAAATTGGAAGAGTTGGGGGAGTTAGGAAGATGCAGGAATTATGATCACAATGACAGGACCAAGAATATTCTCACACAATTTGGTATTAAAATTATCAAACTTACACCTCAAATGTAAAAAGGAAATGCAGCTGGCATAAATATCCACGTAAGTCTATAGTTCTTACCTGATCAGTCTGCTCTCCCAGAGCGGGGCCAATGGAGGTAACTTCGGTTTGTTGGTTAGAGATGAGTACTTGGGATATCATGAAGTCTTTCCCTCCTAAATATTGGCGTAGGGCCTGTAATTCTGAATTTCTTTCCATTAGGGCTTGTACCATCTTCTCTGCAGCAGCCTAGTAAAAAGAAATCACAATAACATTAAAAAGATACTCCAGTAAAACAAAATTTGTGTTCTGGTATTATTTCTTAAAAGTCAACCATTTACAAAAAGCCCGTGGGGCCCTAAGTAGTTTCCTTGCTTTCAGTTTATAGGGAGAAACATAGTCAAGTGAATGAAAGAAAGCCTCTCTTTGGCAGAATATTGAGAAAAAAAAAAAAAAACTGTAACATCACACATAAGAGAATCTGCAATAGGTTCTGCTAGAACTCATTAGATTAAGGTGTTAAGATTTTGATTTGAAATAGGATAAGAAATGTCTGTCTTTACTATGGGATAGCTGTTCCTTTGGCCTGGATAACACAAAACATTTGTGTGGTTTGCTCTCTTCAAATCTTTCCTCTCTTCAAATCTTTAAATCTCACCTTATCACATTGGCCTTCCCTACACATCCTATCTCAAACAGCAATCTCATTGGCCAAAGAGTATATGGGATTGAATATAACCATCTCATAATATAAGGAAACGTTAGAAAATATTATGGTCAAATAACATAGGCAAGTAAGAATCTAGCTTCCTTGAGCTCAATATAGTGGCATACACCCATAATCCCAGCTACTCAGGATACTGAGGAAAAAGGATTGCTTGAGCCCAGGAGTTCAAGGCCAGCCTGGACAATATAGCAAGACCCCATCTTGGGGGAGAGGGGAAAGAATCTAGCTTCCTCTAAAAACTGATTTGACTAGGGGGATTATTCTTACCTATTGATCCCTGAAAAGCAGCACAAGTTAACTAACAATCTTTAACTTTCAGGAGAAAAAATAGAAATGAGAAAAAATTATTACTTCTGAAATAGTTACGCATCATT